GAAAAAATAATAAAGGCAAGTGAAGGTATGAAAAAGGAGGAGGAGGAGAAGGAGAAGAAAAGAATTGAGAACTCTTGCTAACCAGCCACTCCAGGTGAAATTTTGACCCCTTTGGTCTTGCCCATCACTCAGAGCCATTTCTTTCTTTTTTTTTTTTTTTTTTTTTTTTTTTTTTTGAGGCGGAGTCTCGCTCAGTCGCCCAGGCTGGAGTGCAGTGGCGCTATCTCGGCTCACTGCAAGCTCCGCCTCCCGGGTTCACGCCATTCTCCTGCCTCAGCCTCCTGAGTAGCTGGGACTACAGACGCCTGCCACCTCGCCCGGCTAGTTTTTTGTATTTTTTAGTAGAGACGGGGTTTCACCGTGTTAGCCAGGATGGTCTCGATTTCCTGACCTCATGATCCACCCGCCTCGGCCTCCCAAAGTGCTGGGATTACAGGCATGAGCCACCGCACCCAGCACTCAGAGCCATTTCTGTGGTTTGCAACCAGGAACTCCAAGTGACATGGAAATATTACTGGATTTAATTGAGTCCACCCTCACCTAGCCTCAGGGGGTTTTCTCCCACTCAAGTGGGCATTCTCTTCCTTAGATCATCTTTTGTTTGTTTGTTTGTTTTTGAGACGGAGTCTCGCTCTGTCACCCAGGCTGGAGTGCAATGGTGCGATCTGAGCTAACTGCAACCTCCACCTCCCGGGTTCAAGCAATTATTCTGCCTCGGCCTCCCAAGTGGCTGGGACTACAGGCACATGCCACCATGCCCAGCTAATTTTTTTGTATTTTTAGTGGAGATGGAGTTTCACCATGTTAGCCAGAATGGTCTCAATCTCCTGACCTTGTGATCCACCCCTTTCAGCCTCCCAAGGTGCTGCGATTATAGGCATGAGCCACCATGCCAGGCCCTTAGATCATCTTAATGCCAGGAAATCTTACAAGGTCCCTGTGCGTTCACCCCACCATGGCATGGAAAAAAACATAACATTGTCCTGAGGAACTTGACCACTAACATACCTAAGTGGAAAAATACTCATTCATCCCTGCCCTTTGTTTACATTCTCTAAGTTAACATCCTGCCTAGTTCCACCAATAATCATGTTTTTAAAATGCTGTCAGTTGTTTTCCAGTGATGCATATTGATGTCTGTAGTGATTGGGTATTTGCTTTTAAATCTTCTGAAGCAAAGAAAAACAATTTGTTCCACCATTCTCTCTACTTTTGTGTGTGTGTGAAAACTTTTATAGTAAACACTTTAAGAAATAAGTCTGGGCCGGGCGCGGTGGCTCAAGCCTGTAATCCCAGCACTTTGGGAGGCGGAGACGGGTGGATCACGAGGTCAGGAGATCGAGACCATCCTGACTAACACGGTGAAACCCCGTCTCTACTAAATATTACAAAAAACTAGCCGGGCGAGGTGGCGGGTGCCTGTAGTCCCAGCTACTCGGGAGGCTGAGGCAGGAGAATGGCGTGAACCCGAGAGGCGGAGCTTGCAGTGAGCCGAGATCTGGCCACTGCACTCCAGCCTGGGCAACAGAGCAAGACTCCGTCTCAAAAAAAAAAAAAAGAAAAAAAAGAAATAAGTCTGGATGTGTGAAGAAAAAATATTCTCGGCCGGGCGCAGTGGCTCAAGCCTGTAATCCCAGCACTTCGGGAGGCCGAAACGGGCAGATCACGAGGTCAGGAGATCAAGACCATCCTGGCTAACACGGTGAAACCCCGTCTCTGCTAAAAATAAATAAATAAATAAATAAAAATTAGCTGGGCATGGTGGTGGGTGCCTGTAGTCCCAGCTACTCGGGAGGCTGAGGCAGGAGAATGGCATGAACCCAGGAGGTGGAGCTTGTAGTAAGCCGAGATCGCACCACTGCACTCCAGCCTGGGTGACAGAGCGAGACTCCCCCTCAAAATTTTTTAAATTACGTGTCCCTGATCAATTTGCGGTTCCCTGGTAGGTTCCTTGCTGTGATGTCTCATATAGAAACTACGTCCTATTCTCCTTCATGCCCAGCATAAAAGGAAGACTCGCAGGTCTGTGGCTGTCATGGCCCTCCCTGGCACCCTTTTTCTGAGTTCAACCATCAATCATCCAACAAACATTTACTGAGGCCGGGCGCAGTGGCTCACGCCTGTAATCCCAGGACTTTGGGAGGCTGAGGCAGGTGGATTACCTGAGGTCAGGAGTTTGAGACCAGCCTGGCCAACATGGTGAACTGCTGTCTCTACTAAAAATACAAAAATTTAACTGGGCGTGGTGGTGGGCACCTGTAATCCTAGCTATTTGGGAGGCTGAAGCAGGAGAATCACTTGAACCTGGGAAGTGGAGGTTGCAGCGATCTGAGATCATGCCATTGCACTCCAGCCTGGGCAACAAGAGCGAAACTCCATCTCAAAATAAATAAATAAATAACATTTACTGATCATCTGCTAGTACTGGGTACTGAGCATCTGCTAGTACAAGAGGCTAGTGGCTCAGCTACAAAGGCAAGTTTCTACTGCGGAGAGAGGGAGACACCGAGGGCAACAATACAGGCCATAGAGACTCACAGGGTCAGGAGAGGAATTCTGTCCAGGGCCCTATTGGAAACAGAGAGGAAAGACTCGACAGAGTTGAGGAAGCCAGGCTGAAGCTGGAAGATGACAGAGGGTATCAGCCAAGGTCTCAACAGAAACACATGGAACAATGGAACATTCATACAGAGTAACCAAAGAGAATTCACCAAGGGACAATTTACAAAAATAAGGGAAGACAAAAAGGCCCATGGAGCACTCTGGGGCTGGAAGCAGTGGGGAACTTTGCCTTGACAGGGTCAGGGATGGAATAGTTGTCAGAACCTGGAGAAAGGCTGCTGCAGAAGAGGCCCAGCAGGAGATGAGGCCTCCCAGGGTCTGGAAGGGACGGAGCTGTGGAATACCCCACCTTTACTCCACTGCCCTCGAAATTCCTGCTGGTGCTTCCCATCAGATAAACCCACGCAAAACAAGAGAGCAAGGGACCCCACGGAAGCTCAGCCTGCTGGGGCATGGAGCAGAGTGCAAAAGATGGAAAGAGGTCTGAAGGGCAAAGAAAAAATTTCCAGGCCAGGCGCAGTGGCTCACACCTGTAATCTCAGGACTTTGGGAGACTGAGGCTGCCGAATCACTGGAGGTCAGGAGTTCAAGACCAACCTAGCCAACATAGTGAAACCCTATCTCTACTAAAAATACAAAAAAAAAAAATTAACTGGACGTGGTGACATGTGCCTGCAGTCTATGCTACTTGGGAGGCTGAAGCAGGAGAATCACTTGAACCCAGGAGGAGGAGGTTGCAGTGAGATGAGGTCATGCCACTGCAATCCAGCCTGGGCGACAGAGTGAGACTCTGTCTAAAAAATAAAGAATGAAAAAATTTCCAGAACCCAGTTATTAGGGGGAGCAGGCAGAGAGAAGGCCCGGAAGTGAAGAGAACCTGGCTCATCCAGGGAACAGAAACGCCTGGTTGAGCCGGGCATGGTGGCACGCACCTATAATCCCAGCTACTCAGAGGCTGGGGTGAGAGGATCGCTTGAGCCCAGGAATTCAAGGCCAGCCTGGGCAACATAGTGAGACCTTGTCTCTACAAAAAATAAAATAAAATAATTAACTGGGCAAGGTGGCATGCACATGTAGGCCCAGCTACTCGGGAGGCTGAGGTCAGGGGTGGTTTGAGCCCAGGTGTTCAAGGCTGCGGGGATCCACGATCACGCCACTATGCTCTAGCCTGGACCACAGAATGAGACCCTGTCTCTAAATAAATAAATAAATAAATAAGACCAGGTACAGTGGCTCATGCCTGTAATCCCAGAATTTTGGGAGGCTGAGGTGAGAGGATTGCTTGAGGCCAGGAGTTTGAGACCAGCCAGGGCAACATAGTGAGACTCTGTCTCTATTATAATATTTTTATTTTATTTTATTTTATTTATTTATTTTAATTTTGAGACGGAGTCTCTCTGTCATCCAGGCTGGAGTGCAATGGCGTGATCTTGGCCCACTGCAACCTCTGCCTCCCAGGTTCAAGTGATTCTCCAGCCTCAGCCTCCTGAGTAACTGGGATTATCGACACACACCACCACACCAGGCTAATTTTCGTATTTTTAGTAGAGTTGGGGTTTCACCTTGTTGGTCAGGCTGGTCGCCAACTCCTGACCTCAGGTGATCCGCCCACCTTGGCCTCCCAAAGTGATGGGATTACGGGCATAAGCCACCACTCCTGGCCTCTATTATAATATTTTCAAAAATCAAAAAAAGAAAGGGGCGGGGAGGGAGGAGGGAGGAAGAGAGGAAGGCAGACACCGGGTTTGAGTGAAATGTAGAGAGACAGGAGATAAGTTTGACGTGGACCAGGAGCAGACCATAAAGGGCTGCATACATGCTGATAAGAGGCATTCATCTTATTCCATGGGCAACAAAAAGCCTGAGAAGCAGGGGAGCAATGTCATGAGATGTCATTAGATCCTAATGAAGCCATCCTGGCTGCAGCAGGAGAGAGAAATGACCTGAACTTGGGGAATCCAGCTGGGAGGCGCGAGCTAATGAGGGCTGAACCAAAGCAGTCACAGGTGGATGGAGAGGAAGCAGGCAGGTGGTATTGATGGGATGGAGTCTTGGAACTTGGTTTTCTTTTTTTTTTTTCTTTTTTTTTTCTGAGACAGAGTCTCGCTCTGTTGCCAGGCTGGAGTGCAGTGGTGCGATCTCGGCTCACTGCAACCTCCACTTCCCAGGTTCAAGCGGTTCTCCTGCCTCAGCCCCCCAAGTAGCTGGGACCACAGGCGTGCACAACCACGCCCAGCTACTTTACCTATTTTTAGTAGAGTTGGGGTTTCACCATGTTGGCCAGGATGGTCTCAATCTCCTTACCTTGTGATCCACCCGCCTCGGCCTCCCAAAGTGCTGGGATCACAGGCGTGAGCCACTGTGCCCGGCTGGAACTTGGTTTTCTATCTCATATGTGTTCTAGGTACCTTTGCTGCATAACAACCTCTCCACCAAACTTGGTGTCAAACTATAACGATTTTATTATGTTCACAAATTCCATGGGTCAGTAATTCAGACAGTACTCAGCTGCAGTGATTGGTCTGTGCTTCACAACGTCTGGGGTCCCAGCTGCGAAGACCAGAATGACTGGTGCTGGGGTTAACTTGGAACAGCTGGAGGGCTGAAATCACCAGGTAGCTTTACTCATATATCTGATGCCTGAGCTGGCAGGACCCAAAGGCTGGGCTCAGGGAGGCTGAAGACAGACACATCAACGTGTGACCTCTCCATGTGGCTTGGGCCTCTCTCAGTAAGGACACTGGGCTCTGTAAGGGAACACCCAAAAGACGCATATGAAAAGAGGAGGGAGACATGGTGGCTCACACCTGTGATCCTAGCACTTTGGAAGGCCAAGGCACGAGGATCACTTGAGCCTAAGAGTTTGAGACCACCCTGGGCAACATAACAAGACTCCGTTTCTATTAAAAAAAAAAAAAAAAAAAAAAAAAGAGGCTGGGCGCGGTGGCTCAAGCCTGTAATCCCAGCACTTTGGGAGGCCGAGACGGGCGGATCACGAGGTCAGGAGATCAAGACCATCCTGGCTAACACAGTGAAACCCCGTCTCTACTAAAAAAATACAAAAAACTAGCCGGGCGAGGTGGCGGGCGCCTGTAGTCCCAGCTACTCCGGAGGCTGAGGCAGGAGAATGGCGTGAACCCGGGAGGCGGAGCTTGCAGTGAGCTGAGATCCGGCCACTGTACTCCAGCCTGGGCGACAGAGCGAGACTCCTTCTCAAAAAAAAAAAAAAAAAAAAAGAAAAAAAAAAAGAAAAAAATACTTGCCAGGTGTGGTAGTGAGTGCCTGTAGTCTCAGCTACTCCGAAGGCTGAGGCAGGAGGATCGCTTGAGCCTGAGAGGTTGAGAATGCAATGAGCTATGATCCCACCACTGCACCTGGGTGACAGGGCGAGGCCCTGTCTCAAGAAAAACAAAAAAAAAAAAAGAGAGAGAGAGAGAGGGAAAGAAAAGAAAACAGGGTGTTCAAGAGAACAAGGGGGAAGTTGTGTGTCTGTTCAGCACCCAGCCTGGGAGGGAAGTAACATAGAAAGTCACTTGTAGCACACTCTATTGGTCAAAATAATCACAAGGTCACCAGATTCCCAGGGAGAGGACCTCTACCCCACCTCTCCATGGAAGGAGTGTCAGAGAATTTGGTACCGTATTTTATATTATTTTTATTTTTATTTATGTATTTATTTTTATTTATTTATTCTTTGAGACAGAGTTCCGCTCTTGTTGCCCGAGCTGAAGCGCAAATGCAATCTCGGCTCACTGCAACCTCCGCCTCCTGGATTCAAGTGATTCTTTCTCCTGCCTCAGCCTCCCAAATAGCTGGCACTACAGGTGTGCACCACCACACCCCGCTAGTTTTTTTATTTTTAGTAGAGACGGGGTTTCACCATGTTGGCCAGGCTGGTCTCAAACTACTGACCTCAAGTGATCTGTCTGCCTCAGCCTCCCAAAGTTCTGGTATTACAGGCGTGAGCCACCACACCTGGCCCCATGTCACCCTTGATGCCTCTCTTCCTACTATCAACCCCTTCAACCCCGGCCAGTCCATCACCAAGTCCTATGGTGCTATCCGTCAAACATATACATTGTATCTTCCTACTGCCCTTCATCTCCCCCACCCTCACATTTGCCAGGGTCCCATCACCTCCTGTAGCAGCCTCCACTCATCCCCTCTCCCACATACTCTCTGCAGTCCAAGTAATTTGAACATGCAGCTCACAACACTCCCCCATGAAGACTCCTCTGAGCACTGCGTCAGGAGCAATCTCCAAGGCCCTGCAAGGTCTGAGCCTGCTTCTCCTCCCTTCAGTCCCTGGGTTCCACCCACGTGGGTCTTCCTTAATTTTTCTCAACTGCTCTATGTCTTTCTGCCCAGGATCTTTGTATAGGTTGTTCGTTCTGCCTGGGACATCCCTCCTCGCACTCCTCATGTGACTGTCCCCCTTTCATCATCCGGGGTCTTATCTTAAAAGTCTCTTTCCGGCCGGGCACGGTGGCTCACACCTGTAATCCCAGCACTCTGGGAGCCCAAGGGGGGGTTGAATCACGAGGTCAGTAGTTCAAGACCAGCCTGGCCAAGATGGTGAAACCCATCTCCACTAAAAATACAAAAATTAGCCGGTCAAGGTGGCAGGTACCTGTAATCCCAGTTACTTGGATTGGGGTGAGATCATTCAGCTACTTGGGAGGCTGAGGCAGGATAATCACTTGAACGTGAGAGGCAGAGGTTACAGTGAGCCGAGATCATGCCACTGCACTCCAGCCTGGGTGACAGAGTGAGACTCTGCCTCAAAAAGAAAAAAAAAGAAGTCTCTTTCCCTGAGAGATTTCCCAGCTCCACCATTGTTACTTTGGTCCCCTGTGTTCTTAACACTATTGTAAATATTTTTGCTTCAGCATCCTGAGTAACTGGGACTACAGGCGCCCGCCACCAAACCTGGCTAATTTTTTTTTTTTTTTTTTTTTTTTTTGTAGAGACAGGGTTTCACCATGTTAGCCAGGATGGTCTCGATCTCCTGACCTTGTGATCTGCCCGCCTCGGCCTCCCAAAGTGCTGGGATTACAGGTATGAGCCACTGCGCCCAGCCTATTTTTGCCTTTTTAATTGTTTTATGTCTGTCTCTTCTACTGAAATTCAAGCTTCCTGTGAGCAATGACTGAGTCCATCTTGTTCTCTGTATCCTCAGCACTCAGCACCATGCCTAGCACATCATAAATATTTATTGGATAAATGAATGACAATAACTCCTGGGCTTCCAGCTTGGTTGATTACAGGAGGAGGAGCCACTTGATCGCCCACTTTAGTCAATAGGAATGACACATTTTGGCCAACTGTTTCTCAGATGTATTTTTTTTTTTTTTTTTTTTTTTTTTTGAGATGGAGTCTGTCGCCCAGGCTGGAGTGCAATGGCACAATCTCGGCTCGCTGCAACCTCTGCCTTCCGGGTTCAAGCGATTCTCCTGCCTCAACCTCCCAGGTAGGTGGGATTACAGGCGTTCACCACCATGCCCATCTAATTTTTGTATTTTTAGTAGAGACGGGATTTCACCATGTTGGCCAGGCTGATCTCGAACTCCTGACCTCGTGATCCACCCTCCTCGGCCTCCCCAAGTGCTGGGATTACAGGCGTGAGCCACCGCGCCTGGCAGATTCATCTTTGAGTAGTTTTAGGAGTTTTTCAGGCGGGGCAGGTGGATCTGACCTGGGGCAAAGGGATAAGGAAAGCTGTGAAATGTGGAGTTAGGGGGTCATTGGGAGGAAGGATGAAGAAAGAAGGCCAAGAAAAATCGCTTAGAACGTTTCTTCATTCATTGGGGGACCCGCCATGTGCCAGCCAGAGTCCCTGCCCTCAAGGAGTTCTCAGTCTGCCAGGAAGCGGAAGGGTCCCACACAGAGGGCCTCCATGCTGTGCTAGAGGCAGCGGAGCCCAGGCGGCCCGCAGTGGGCAAAGGCACCTGAGGCTTCTCCCCAGGTCTCTTCTCCCAAGACTGAGCCTTGACTGCAGGCTCCATCTGCCTCCCCAGCCAGGAAGGTAAAGTCCCTGCACAGGCATCCCCAGCCTGCTTTAGGAGCCCTGCCAGAGACGGGGTAGCGAGGGGCAAGGAATAGTTCCTCGAGGTGAAAACCTATGATAAGACCCTAATAGTCACTGACTAGTGCTCGGCAGACCCCAGCGCTGATCTAAGGCCTGGGCGTGCATGAACTCATCCTACCCTCCCAACCAACCCAGGAGATATCAGAGGAGTAAGGTTGGATATCATCAGCACAAGTCTCCTAAAGTTCACCCCACCGATGACAGGACTGGAAGGTTCACACTGCAGGGATCTGAGGTAGACATATGGAAGCACTCCTCGACCACAAGGACCGTGAGAATCTGAAATAATGTACCCTTCAGAGCATACGTTATCTGGAACAAACTCAGACGGTGCATGGGGGAGAGGGGGATGGGCAGCTGATGACCTCACTCACTCCAATGTCCTGAGCTCCTTACCCCGCCAGGCGCTGACCTCAGACTGGCGGAGGGGGCAGATGGGGCGAGATCATTCAGTATAGTGTGCGCCCAGCGCTGGAGCGACCGTGTCCGGGGACAGGGAGGGAGGAGCCGCCTGCAGAGGTGTGGGGACCCGAGGAAGGTTTCCAGGTGTCGCCCGATCCTTTGACCTTAACCCGAGATGCGCTGCGCGCGAGGTCGGTCGACGCCCTCCGCCTCCCGCAACGCCGCTGTGCGGTTGGGGGCGGTGCGGTCCCTCAGCCGCCTGCGCAGCCCGCACGCCGTCACTTCCTGTGAGGTGGGCCCAGCCGGGCTGCGCACGGAGGTGGGGGATGCAGGCTTGGGGTGAGCAGCAGCGACGGTGCCATCGGCTGTCGCATCGGGGTCCCCAGCCCCGCCCCGCGCCGAAGCGGCGCTCGCGGGGAGGGCCTGGCCGTCTTCGCGCGGTGGCCGGGAGCTCCCGGGGTCCCCTGCCTGTGCTCCGCTCCCCCATCCAGGACCTGGGCTGGAGGTGCCAGGGAGCTCTGGGAGCCTGGGGTGCACGCAGGGAAGTGCTCGCGGCTGCCGGGGTCACAAAACTCTAGGGCTACACAGTGCCCAAGGCTTGGGGGCCATCGAGCCCACCGAGGGCTCTTTGCCATCAGCGCCGTGTTTTGATGCCCGCGACAAGGAACACCACGAAATAGGTTTCCTGACACTCAGGTGAGGTGCCAGGTCCTGGGATACCAAGGTCAGGTCAGGTGGTCTGTACTTGCCGCCCCTGGGTCGGCTCTCTACCCTGCTTGACTACATCACAGGAAAAGGCTGGAAATGGATCTGGGGCTGGTTGACCTGTAGCTCATGGAGGCTGAAGAATTTCCTCCGTGAAGGCAGACGTGATTTTCCTCCTCATGGAAGAATTTAGGCCAGCCATAGTGTGTTATTTTATTTTATTTTATTTTGTTTTACTTTATGTTATTTTTGATACAGAGTCTCACTCTGTTGCCCAGGCTGGAGTGCAGTGGGGCCATCTATCTCAGCTCACTGCAACCTCTGCCTCCCAGGTTCAAATGATTCTCCTGCCTCAGCCTCCTGAGTAGCTGGGATTACAGGCGTGCACCACCAGGCCCGGCTAATTTTTGTATTTTTGGTAGAGATGGGGTTTCGCCATGTTGACCAGGCTGGTCTGAACTCCTGGCCTCTAGTGATCTTCTTGCCTCACCTTTCCCAATAGCTGGGATTCCAGACACATGAACTTTATTTATTTATTTATTTATTTATTTATTTATTTATTTATTTTCGAGACAGAGTCTCGCTCTGTTGCCCAGGCTGGGGTGCAGTGGCGCAATTTCGGCTCACTGCAAGCTCCACCTCCCAGGTTCATGCCATTCCCCTGCCTCAGCCTCCCAAGTAGCTGGGACTACAGGCACCTGCCACCACGCCGGCTAATTTTTTTAGTAGAGACTGGGTTTCACCGTGTTAGCCAGGATGGTCTCAATCTCCGGACCTTGTGATCCGCCCACCTCAGCCTCCCAAAGTGCTGGGATTACAGGTGTGAGCCACCTTGCCCGGCCATGAACTTTATATAAAATGGAATCGTGCAGTGCTGTGACAGAATCATAACCACCAAAGATATCCACATCCTAACCCCCAGAATCTCTGAATACATTACCTTACCCAACATAAGAGACTTTGCAGATGTGATTTAGTTAAGGACATTGAGATAGGGAGATTATCCTGGATTATTCAGTGTGCCCAGTTTAATCACAAGAGTCCTTTATAAGAGGGGGGTGGAAAAGGTAAAAGTGATGGGATGTGAAAAGGATTCCACCTTCTATTGCTAACTTTGAAGATGGACAAAGAGGCCATGAGCCAAGGAATATGGATGGCCTCTAGAAGGTACAAAAGACAAGGAAACAGAGATACTCCCCTGGAGCCTCCACAAGGAACACAGCTTCTACCAATGCTTTGACTTTAGCCAGTGATCCTTGTCAGACTTCTATAGAATTGTAAAATAATAAATTTGTGTTGTTTCAAGCGATTAAATTTGGGGTCATTTGTTACAGAAGCAATAAGAGACAAATACAGGTATTTACTCTTTGTGTCTGGCATCTTTCACTCAACTTTTTTTTTTTTTAATCCAAGCCCATGACAGTAGATCATTTTATTTGTACTATATAACATCCCATTACATGAACATGCCATATATTCTTCTTCAACTGTTGATGGACATTTGTATTGTTTCTAGTGTGGGCTGTTATGAATACTGTGGCTATGAATATTCTTGTACATGTCTTTGGGATAAGGTGTGTGCATATTTCTGTTGCACATATATAGGAATAGAACTGCTGGGTTATAGGGTATGCATGCATAGTGGCTGCTGTGATGCATCACCAGCTCTTTCAGAATGAAAGGACCTGTTCTCTTAGCTGCTGGGAGGACCCCTGGCTGGCAGTCCCAGCTGCCAGGCCTCTGTGCAAACTAGCCTCAGCTGAAAAGAACGTATTTGGCCAAGGTCACACATGCCTCCTAGGGATGACCTGTGTCATTCAATGACTGGTTGATATGTAAGGGTGGGGGATATAAAGGCCCCCTCCCCCACTGATACTTGGAATAGCTTTGAAGGGTCACCCCAGATTCAAAGTTCTTCAAGGATCAGAGGAGGCTTTTGCAGAGGCTATATCCTAACCCAGCTTCTCCCCCACCAACCCTGCTTCCCTCGCTTTCCTGCAGGTGTTGATCCTGAGAGCACTCCCTAGTCAACTTCCTTTCTGTTTTTTCCTCTCTAATCCAATATGATTGATATCCCTAATCAACTTCCTGCATGCTAATCTCCATCTCAGGATCAGCTGCCTGGAAACACAACCTACAACAGCTTACATTATTCAGCTTTCATGGTTATCAAGCAATTTTTTTTTTCCGAGAAGGAGTCTTGCTCTATTGCCCAGGCTGGAGTGCAGTGGCACAATCTCAGCTCACTGCAACTTCCACCTCCCAGGTTAAGGCGATTCTCCTGCCTCAGCCTCCCGAGTAGCTAGGACTACAGGCATGTGCCACTATGCCCAGCTAATTTGGTATTTTTCTTAGAGACGGGGTTTCACCATGTTGGCCAGGCTGGTCTTTAACTCCTGACCTCAAGTGATCCGCCCGCCTTCACCTCCCAAAGTGCTGGGATTACAGGCATGAGCCATTGCGCCTGGCCACGTCAAGCAGTTTCCTAAAATCGTTGTTGTCCTATGTATTCCCTCCAGCAGGGTGGGTGAGAGAGCTCAACATTCTTGCCAACACTAAGTATTTTTTGTCTTTTTTTTGAGACAGGGTCTTGCTCTGTCACCCAGGCTGGAGTGCAGTGGCATGACCACAGCTCCCTGCAGCCTCAACCTCCTAGGCTCAAGCAATTCTCCCACCTGAGCCTCCCAAAGTAGCTGGGACTACAGGCATGTGTCACCATGCCCACCTAATTTTTATTTTTAAATTTTTTTGTAGAAATAGGGTCTTGCTATATTGCCCGGGCTGGTCTTGAACTCCAGGCTCAAGTGATCCTCCCAACCTCGGCCTCCCCAAAGTGCTGGGATTATAGGCATGAACCACCAAGCCTGGCCTGTTTTGTTTTGTTTTGTTTTGTTTTTTCTAAAGCCACTCTGGTGATTGGGTAGTGGTACCTCATTGTGGTTTCAATATGCATTTTTCTGATGGCTAAAGAAGTTCAGTACCTTGTTGTATGTTTATTGAGTTATTTGTGTATCCTCTTTTGTGAATTGCCTGGTCAAATCTTTTACCCATTTTTCTACTGGGTTGCGTGCCTTTTTCTTATCAATATGCAGGTGTTCTTTCTATATTCTGGATACAAGTCATTTGTTGGATGTATCACAACATTATTCAGAGATTCTCAGTGGCGCCAGCACATTCTGGGTCCCAATAAAAATGAGTTACAAGAATGCTTGAGTCCGAAAACTCCTCTAAGGAAAGAATGCTTGGACGGATGCAAATGTGTATGGTTTTAATGGGTATAATTGGATATCAGATATGGGTCCCAAGGAAAGGAAAATAGAACCTTGAATGCAGGTAACACACCCTCAAACTAGCCACAGGCAGTTGTCCCAAAGGCAACTGTAAATTAGTATTCGTTCATTCAAAGAATGTCGATGGAAGGTACCAATGACCAGCATGTTGTTTGGTTTTTGTTTGTCTGTTTTTTGAGACAGAGTCTCCCTCTGCCGCCCAGGCTGGAGTGCAGTGGCGTTATCTTGGCTCTCTGCAACCTGTGTCTCCAGGGTTCAAGCGATTCTCCTGCCTCAGCCTCCCGAGTAGGCATGCGCCACCATGCCGGGCTAATTTTTGTATTTTTAGTGGAGGCGGGGTTTCGCCATGTTGGCCAGGCTAGTCTCAAACACCTGACCTCAGGCGATCTGCCCGCCTTGGCCTCCCAAGGTGCCGGGATTACAGGAGTGAGGCACCGCGCCCAACTGGTGAGCAGCCTGTTCTAGGAGGTGACTAGCCAGCTGTGAAAGAGAGACAATATTATTGCTTCCAGGAGATCTAGGAGAGACGACAACTTCTAAAATAACGTAATTTTAGACATGAGACATAAACTGAATCGGTCGTCGGGGGAAGGAGGACGAAAAAGGGTTGATCTAGCAACTCCCAGACCAAGACACCAGGAGGGTTCCGCCCTCGGCTCCGCCTCCAGCTTTGCATACGCCTCCTGATTGGTCGGCGGCGGGCGGCCCCACCCCGCGGAGCCGGGCTCTGCAAGCTGCAGGCGGGCTCCGCCAAGATGCAGCGGCGGCTCCGGGTGTCGCCGGGCGGGCCAGGGGCAGCGCGTACCCGAGCTGGGCTGGGGGCGCCCGCCACGGCACCCGCGCGCTCCTAGCGCCCCAGACCCGCCTGCAGACCCGATCCTCCCTGCCGCCGTCCCACCCGCAGTCCCCGCCCCTCCACCCTTTGTGTAGCCGCCACCCGGCGCCCCCGGCTCTGCGCGACCCCGGCCGGGCCGGACCGTGGCAAAGCGCCAGGCCCCGCGTGGGCTCGCGGCGAGCGGTTGATGGCGAGGGGGCGCGGCGCGGGCGCTGTAGCCCGAGTTCCCAACGCTGGAGGCCCGGCCCGCCTCCGCCGCATTGTCCCGGGCCGCGCGTCCCGGCCCTGAGCCGCGCCGCCGCAGCACCCGCCCGCCGCCCGCGGGGCCATGCGGAGAGCCGCCGGGATGGAGGACTTCTCCGCGGAGGAAGAGGAGCCCTGGTACGACCAGCAGGACCTGGAGCAGGGTGAGCGCGG